TTTTTATAATTTTTATTTAGAAACATTTAATACAAACTATAGTATATAGAGCTATAAAAATTACGAATAACATAATTTTACATAAATTATTGTTTATTATAAACAAAGTATCATTTAGTCCATAATCATGTGTAATGCATTTACGTAACTTCTAAAAGTATGAAATTTATGCAAATTGGATGATTATTAATTGTCTTTTTCATCATATCAGAATGTACAGACCAAAAAGTTTAACTAATTCATTTCTATTTCCTGTGGTACTTCTTCATCATTGGATTCTTGCATCCTTTCTTCTTGTTCTGCAATTTCTTCTAATTTTTTCCTTTCTTTAAGTCCTGCAGCTGGTGACCTTATAAGAGATAAATCGCGTTGAACTTCTTTAATGTCTCTTTCTCTTTCTATCTCGCGTCCTTTCCGTAATCGCTGCATTATGTATAGATTTTGCCTCTTCTGCCTGATAGTCTCTACTTTCTTCATTGCTTCAAATACATTATTCCATAATTCTCTGTTATATTTAATTGGTATGTTCCTTTTCTTCTCAAATTCAAATGATGGATCCACTGTCAATTCTTTGCCAGCAGTTTTCCTGTATGCTTTGGTCCATCTGACCTTTCTTGGATTTTTCTTCTTCTTGAAAGCAGCATGACATTTTGAGCGACAAAATTTAAATATCTATAACACAAAAATATGCCTATATATATTCTCTCATAAAAACATATAACAAATTTCGCAATTTAATTTATATAATTATTAATTATGCGTATATTCATAAAAATGTGTATTTAAATGCAGAATCAAGGTAGCTACTAATTGTACACATAACCTAAACATTATGGAAAAAGTAACATTTCGAAACACTCTTCTCAAAAATATAAAACTTAAATTGTTGGTATAATTAACAAATACCTATCAAAATTCTTACTTTGCAATCGTTTCTTACAAACTGAATCCCATGTCCCGGATAAATCCGAGATGAACAAAAATAACACGTTTCTATACGCATGTTGCATGCGTTTATGAAAACCCTGGATAAAATTGGAAACCAAAGGAACGAATATAACACATTCTATTAGAGTGTTAACCGCGCCATCTATGAAATATTTTTTGCATTACGACAATATGCAGTAAAAGAATTTTCTAAAACACGCACTAATTTTTAAATGCGCATAATTTGATACTCGATTTCGTTAATAATACAAAAATAGTTGT